AGCCTAAGACCTACACACACACTCACTCACAGCCTAAGACCTACACACACACTCACTCACAGCCTAAGACCCACACACACTCACTCACAGCCTAAGACCCACACACACTCACTCACAGCCTAAGACCTACACACACACTCACTCACAGCCTAAGACCTACACACACACACACACTTACTCACAGCCTAAGACCTACACACACACTCACTCACAGCCTAAGACCTACACACACACACACACTTACTCACAGCCTAAGACCTACACACACACTCACTCACAGCCTAAGACCTACACACACACACACACTTACTCACAGCCTAAGACCTACACACACACTCACTCACAGCCTAAGACCTACACACACACACACACTCACTCACAGCCTAAGACGTACACACACACTTACTCACAGCCTAAGACCTACACACACACTCACTCACAGCCTAAGACCTACACACACACACACACTTACTCACAGCCTAAGACCTACACACACACTCACTCACAGCCTAAGACCTACACACACACACACACTTACTCACAGCCTAAGACCTACACACACACTCACTCACAGCCTAAGACCTACACACACACTCACTCACAGCCTAAGACCTACACACACACTCACTCACAGCCTAAGACCTACACACACACTCACTCACAGCCTAAGACCTACACACACACACACACTTACTCACAGCCTAAGACCTACACACACACTCACTCACAGCCTAAGACCTACACACATGTATATGTTCAATTCCAAGTTCAGTGTTCGTTTGTTTTTTGCTTGTTTTTGTTTTGTACAGAGATGTTTTCTAAATCCTTTATATTTTATTTATTAATCTTTGTTTATTTTATTATTGTTGTTTTATGCTATCAGTATTATTATTTTGTGTACTAAATGTTCTAAATCATTTTCTATGTTGTTTTGATGCTTTGGCAATACATAATGTATTTTTTTTGTCATGCCAATAAAGCTTTCTGAAATGAAATGAGAGAGAGATGAAATAAGAGATGCAGGATTACGGTCTACTGGCTTTGGAAAACAGTTTTTTCTTGTTTGAAGACTGATGACATCACCACAGAAGCTCATTAACTAGGGATCCGCTGATATTCAAATTATTTGCCGATAATAATTTTCATGGTTTGGCCAGACATACTAACATGACATACTAAGTCATAATTTTAACTTTTTTTATCATAATTATGACATAAAAAAAAAAGTAAATTATGACATACTAAGTCAGAATTATGACAGTTATAATTATGAAAATAAACTGTTATATAAAAATAAAAAGCTGAAATTATGACTTTTTGTCAATTTCAACTAATGTCAGGCTTCGACTAAGTATTAAGTTTTGACTTAGTATGTCAATTTACTTTTCACCATAATTACGACATTAAAAATTCTGAAATAAAATTCGTAATTATGACAAAGTTATAATTGTGAAAAATGCTTAAATAAAAAATCATGACTTGTTAACTTGTCATAATTTCAACTTAGTAGGCTTAGGCTATCATACTTTGTACTTTTTATATCATAATTATGTTTTAAGTCTAGTTTCAGCTTTTCGTCTCATAAATATGACTTAGTGTGTCATCATTTCGACTTTTTGTGTCATAATTATGATTTACGAAAGCATTTTTTTTTTTTCTTGTGCGGCAGAAATGCTTTACTGGAAAATAAGATGTATATTAATTCAAATGGTTAAGTGAACAAATATTATTGAAATGCGGAGCGAAGAAAATTAAGTTTAGACTTTAAATAGTCCGTTAACGTTATCTGGCCCAATAATAACATAAAAAAATGTATGAGACTTGACAGAAAATGAATTGTTATTGATAAAGGTCTAATAGCTGATCTGCCCTACCTGAGAAGATCGTCCACTAGATGCCACTGTATTCCATCATCATAATTAAAAAAATCTAATGAAATATGTAAAATAATAGTAATGTAGAATACCGTACGAACTCTTCACAGTAAAACAAACGGGAAAGGTAATGCGAGGTGTTGCCTAGTAACAGCAGCAAAGACCGTTGGGGTTGAAAGTTCGAGCTGTCATTTTCCCGGGAACTCCACGTCACGTGACTCACCCGGCGCCTCGTGTGCAACTCTTCTCTCCGAATCAAAATGGCGGCGCCGCATGGCGTAAAACTGAAGGATTTAAAGTGTGGTTTTACGGACAACACATCAGCACAAGCGCACCAGGACGCTCAGGTCTTATTTGTGTTTCTGTTGTGTATATGCAGATGTGTGTATGAAGGTTTTGTGATGACGAGCATGTGTAGAAAAGACGCTCAGCATGTGAACACGTGGACGCGAGCGCGTGTTCGAGGCGGATGTGAAGTTATAAATCTCGAGAAATGCGCTATTGAAATCATATTAACGGCTCAAATACGGTTTAATTAGTTAGTCAAGTGTCTGAATAAAGTTTTTGAACTACAAGTTCTGATTTCAGCTGTTTAAATCGTCATACACCAGTATATATGCATTAAGGCTGAAACATGATGTTCAAAATATAAACTGTCTAAAATAAAATGTATTTCTTTTAAGCCCATAAAGGTGGGGAATATCACTGAGGGTTTGACAGATTTTACTCAATCAGTATGAAAGGCCATTAAATGAATGAAATCAAAGAATATTTTACTTCTGCACGATCTTATTCTGCTCGCAATCATCTTTGAATGGATTATTAGGTAAAACTTCTCTTCAATGCTCGTGTTTCTTATCTGAGTGTCCAGGTCAAATAACGCTGACGTGTCTCTCTCTCTCTCACACACACACCTGTCTGTCTGAGTCGAGATTCAATCTGAATCAATGAACAATCTAAAACAGTTTTAAATGTTGTCTCGCCGAGTTTGTTCTTTAGTCTTGGCCTTTAAACTTCTGTAAATCTGCTTTACTACTTAAAAATTAATGATTGATATACAGGTTTTTATTTATGCATTTCTTTTCTGGTAATTATTTGTTTAGGCTATTTGTTTTAAGTTCAACCAACTATTAAAATATAGTAAAATATATAATGGTAGCATTAATTATGTCTTTCTTTTTTTTACTGTAAAATTGTAAATGTAAGTAGCTTCACTGTACAGCTTTATTGTAGTACTAGTAATTATAGTATTTTGAATTTTTTTATTCAGATTTGTGTACTTTTTCACTCGTGACTTTTTGAAGGATTGTGAGATATTAACTCAGAATTGCCAGTCATTAACTCAGAATTTTTGAGATATCAGAATTGCGAGATATTAACTCAGAATTGCGAGATATCAGAATTGCAATATATTAACTCAGAATTGCGAGTTATTAACTCAGAATTTTTGAGATATCAGAATTGCGATATATATACTCAGAATTGCGAGATATTAGAATTGTGAGATATTAACTCAGAATTGCGAGATATTAACTCAGAATTGCGAGTTATTAACTCAGAATTTTTGAGATATCAGAATTGCAATATATTAACTCAGAATTGCGAGATATTAGAATTGCAATATATTAACTCAGAATTGCGAGATATTAGAATTGCAATATTAACTCAGAATTGCGAGATATTAACTCAGAATTGCGAGTTATTAACTCAGAATTGCGACATATCAGAATTGCAATATATTAACTCAGAATTGCGAGATATTAACTCAGAATTGCGAGATATTAACTCAGAATTGCGAGTTATTAACTCAGAATTGCGAGATATTAACTCAGAATTGCGAGTTATTAACTCAGAATTGCGAGTTATTAACTCAGAATTTTTGAGATATCAGAATTGCGAGATATCAGAATTGCGAGATATTAACTCAGAATTTTTGAGATATCAGAATTGCGAAACATAAACTCAGAATTGCAAGATATTAACTAGAGAGAAAAATTTCCTTTTTATTTATTTTTTTATTCTATGGCGGAAAAAGGCTTCTATAGTTTTAACTATTTGTACCATGGTGATGTTTACTAAAGCCCCTTTCACACAGCGCTTTGAACCCGGCAAATTGCCAGAGTGCCTTCTGTGTGAACGCAAACACGACCCGGGACTAATGCGGGGATCGATGCCGGGTTGGGGACCTAGTAACATTGCCGTGTTCAGACCCGGAACGCGCGCTGTGTGAACAAAAGCCGTAACCAATGCCGTGTCGTAATGATGGCGCTGAAGTGAAGTGAAACCAGGCTAGTGAAACGGTACGTAATGCGCTAGTTTATGATCGAATCAGAGAAAAAAATGCACAAGCGTGGTTTCTCCAGAGAGAAATCGCAGCTCATAAGCAAACTATACACGTTGCTGAGACATTACATGTCACATCGATGTCACGTGTCTTTCCGGAACATACACGGGTTGTGTGTGAACGCGCTCTCTGATTCCGGAAAATCACTGGCAGTGTGAATGAAACAAAATCAAACGAACCCGGGTCAAATCCCGGGTCGCTTTATCCGTGTATTTTCCGGAATCTCTGTGTGAAAGGGGCTTATGGGTTAACAATGGGGTTTCACAAGGGTTTTTTTTTTTTGGCCAAACATCATTTATTAGGGTAATTATTTAGCTACAGGGCAAACACTTACAATAATCTTAGTAATACCACATGTGTGATTTGAACTAATGGGAATGACTTTCTCTTACACAAATAATATGTGATTACAGGAAAGTTCACGGATAAGTGTGAATTCCTCATCGTAATGACTTTCCAGCTTTGACTTTGCAGGAATATAGAGTTTGTGGCCCGGGTTTGAATCCTCCTTATCCAATCCAGCATTGTTTTGTGTTTCGTTTTTTATCCACAGTTTGAATTTGGAAAACATGACGTTCCCGTCTTTGATCTGGATGTTGGAAAGATCTCAGACGCTCTCAGTCTCCATGGAAGCCTGGATCCTTCAATTTTATCCATCTTTCAGGAAAAGATTGCGACTGAAAGTGTGGAAAGTGAGGCGTCGCTTCTGTCAGCGCTGAGCGAGATTTTGGACAGCGTAGACGTCGAGACGTTATCACCGTTTGACGTGCTTCCTGACGCAGAGATTTTTTCAGCTCGGAAGGATCCAAACCACACAGTTAGTAGTCGCTTGTGTCTCAAGTTCTCAATATATGTAAAAAACAATAGGTTAATAGGTGCTTGTGTCACACTTTTCCCCTCACAGCTCAGGGATCTTCTGCATTCAGATCGAGCAGCAGCGCTTCAGTGCCCCAAAATCTCACAATCACCAGCTTCAAAGTCAGGAAAAGTACGTTTCCTTTGCTTTATCCTGTTGTTGACCGGACTCACGCGCAGTTCCCGTCTCCACAGCGTCACTGGTGAAATTGTTGAAGAGAAACGATATATTTGTGTAAATCAAAACCGGCTGCAACTTCTGTTCAGTCAAGTTTATTTAAAGGACATACGATACTGGATTTTTCCAGATAACGAAAGTTTAAAAATTACTTTGATACCTGAATAATTGGCCAATAGTTTTTTAAAATCTGTTAAATGAATGAAAACAAATGCAAATTACTCAAATAAGTCAAATTAAATTACTTAAAGTCCCCCTGTAGTCAATAATTTTATCCCTTAAAACTCATCTTTGATCACCAAAATGACATATTTAAACTCATATCTTGAATGTAACTCGACACCCTCGCCTCATTTAGTTTATGGGGTTCTATTAATATGCAAATAAGCCCCGCCTCCACTCACTCACTCACTCAGCTCAGAGATCCACTGGCTTGTTTTTGTAACCAGGCTCTCAAAAATTACATAAAATTTTGGATTTCGATTTATCGGCCACGGCCAATATATCGTTTATCTAGTCTGGGTTTCCCCATACTGCCTTCCCGCAGCGCGATTTTATTCACGCTGAAAGGCAGTATGGATACCATGGACCAAATTTTCGCCTCATTTAGGGAACCAATCACAGAACGGGGAGGGAGCAGCAAGACGATGACGGGTCAATGCGACACACCGAAGCAGTTTGTTTATACCTATGGATCAAACATGGCAGTAGACGCGAAGTTACCTTTCGATGCAGCCTTACGGCCGCTTCACACAGGTTTCACACCGCAAGCGCGAGCGGCACTTGAGCAGCGCGTCAGCGTAACTACATCGTCACTGCAGCTGCAGACGCGCGAGAGTATTCACACTGGAAGCGTTTGTAGACAGTGTCACAGCAGCGGCTCCAAAGCTACATATCGTTAGCCTCATAGCATAATTGCTTAAGTCATTTTGTGTTTTTTCTTGTTTTCCAAAGACATTGAAATATGACTTCGGCATTATATATAAGCGAGCAATTCTTTACAAAGACAACTATACATTTGTTTTTAGAAGTTGGTCATTTTATAACATTGATAGTCTTGAAATTTTGTAATGGGGAGGTGTACAACATTCGCATATAAGTTAAATGTAATACAACAAAACAACCCAGAAAATGGCTCCAATCTATTAGTTTCAGTCATATTTTCGATGTTTACAAGACCGCAACTCCGCGGATAAAAAAACAAAACACACAAATAAACCACACACTCGGGTTTGATTTGGGTTGTGCTAGCCTGTAGCTGTCTGTGTGTTAACGTTACATGAACTAAAAGAACGTTTATATATAATATTTTCTGGCTAGTTTACTTTAGTTTTTTTTATTTATATAATACACAACTTTCACCCAAACTGAATAATTAAAAACAAGTTTTTACCGGGTAAATCTTCTATAAATATTTTAGAGTCTTTATTTTCTTTTATTTGCCTACTCAAGTTCTTGTTAAAACTTTTTGTGGCAATTTTTGTGTGAAATCACATTTATTTTTGTCCATCAAAAGTGTGCTTTCACTTTAATTTAGCGTGAGCAATGCAGCAAAAAACAGATTCGAAACCCCCGCTTCACTGCTGCTCACGCGCCGCTCCTGGTGTGAATGCACTCACTGCTTAACATGCACGCCGAAAAAATACGCGCCGCTCACGCATGCGGTGTGAAACGGCCGTTAGATACACGCCATCGTGTAGGCTACACATAAATCTCTGACCCATCGGCCATCGTCGTCTCCCTCGTCTCATTTCTGTCGCTCTACATACGTCATCTGGTATAATCGAAACGATTGGCTATGAGCTACGTACAGGCGCATTTGATAGACATTCTTAGCACCCAATAAACGGCTCTGGGCATTCGTAAACCACGCCTCAAATACGAGAAAATGAACATGTGGTTCCCAGACCCAAGTCTCAACGAGAATTGGGTCTGGCGTTAGCCAGGCTATCGTTTATCGGCCTTTAAATATAAACAGTTATCGATATCGGGAAAAATTTTCATATCGGCGCATCCCTATATAATACATAACTCCCCTTTTGAATAATAAAAACACCATCTCTGTGTCGCTTTTACAGCATTTCAAATCCCTAAGCCGAAGAAGCAGCTCTAAGTGCCGATTAATCGGCAAAAACAGTATATCGGTCAACCTCTAGTTTAATGCCAGTGTTTTGTGTGGTTTTGTCCATCAGGAGGTGGTGATATCGGACAGACAGTTGAGACCCCGTCGCCATTTGGAAACCCAGAGTAAGATCTCACAGCGAGCCGACGATGAGAAGAACCCGAGAGAGAGCAAGAGGAGCGCGAGAAGCTTTCGCATCGAATCCGACACGATATTCCCACAAGACGAGCGGGAATTCCTCGCAGATTTAGTGAGACACATGCATCCGTACTGCATCAGGACCAATCCGGAGGAAGAGGTCCATGTGTCTGTGGAGGAAGAGGAAGAGGAGGAGTTTGTAGATGTTGAAGGTTACGAGGAACCGGAAGAGAACCAATCAGGACAAGGACTAGATCCAAAAGCAGAAAGCGGCTCATCTCTGATACCCAAATCTGAAGAGGATCGGGATGAAGATGTGTGTAGAAACAGCGGAAATATCTCGTCTTTAGACGAACGTGTTTTGATGACGACTCCTCAGCGAAGAAGCGCTTTACTCAAAACCAGGGGGAAAAACAGGAAAACGGTGACATTTGCAGTCAATTTAACCTTCGTTCACGAGATTCCTCCTGACGATGATTCCGACTCGGAATCCACATCCTCTAAAAGTGACATCACTTCCCCTCAGAAGCCCAAAGCACTCAGTCTGCAACAGTACCGTCTCCTCAGACAGAACAAACAACCTCGTGAAGAGACACGAATGGACTATCGGACGAAATGGCCTTCGCTTCCCGACTTTCCCAGGGAGCTTCCGGCTATTCTGCCGGATTTGTTTAGAATCGGCCCGAAGTTGAATGTAAACACACATTGTTGTGCGATAGATAAAGCTCCAACTGTTGAGGTGAAGATATCGGCATCCCAGCCACGAGTAATCACACGTTCCTCGCGTGTAAAGCTCAGAACGCCCGCAGATCTTTGCACTGATCCTCCAAACCCGGTTCTAGTGCGCCTGAAGCCCACACTATCATCGGGGATGAACACGCAGCCGGCGCGAACACACTCCCAAACTGACGTCTGTGTTTCTTGTGAAGAGGTTCGACTCGCCGAGGTCGTGCCTGTGATCATTAAAGCTACAGATTCACCAACGCGAGCCGGATCAGAACCGTCAGCTCCGTCGGACTCGGTACTGATGCCCACGAGCGTCGCAGAGAACCCCGAAGGACAGCAGAACCAGAGCCCGTGTGGAGAAATCGGTGAGCTGACCGTCCAGAATGGACTTTTAAACTATTAAAATGCTTTCAAAGCAGGGTAATTATCGTTAATTAAAACTAAAACCATTTATGAAATAAAACTATTTTTGTTACTTGGAACAAATGTGAACTGAAATACAATATACAACTTATTTTAGTTGTACTTGATGTAAAAAATTTAGGAAAACTAAATGGACAAATTTTATTTAAAAATAAAATTATAAAAATATAACAAATGTTACTAAAAACTGAATTTTGAAATTAAAACGGAAAATATCATTAAAATAGAATCTGAATAGGCATTTGCAATAACAACAAAATTACTAAAATGAAATTGGAGAATATAAAAACAAAAATGTATAAAATATTTATAGAATAATAAAAACTAGAAACTAAGTAGACAATAAAAACTAAATAAAAACAAACTAATTAAAATGACAAACACAGAACAAAAAGACTATAAATAAAATGAAAACGGAAAATTTGAAAACAAAACATTTAAAATATTTATTAAAACTAACAGAAACTAGAACCTAAATAGACAATAAAAACCAAATAGAAAAAAACAACAAACTAATAAAAATGACAAAAACACAAAAAAAACTATACTATAACTAAAATATAAAAACATAACATTTATTTACAAAAACTATAATAGAAACTAAATAGACGAAAAAAATTAAATGGAAAAAAATAATTAAAATGACAAAAACAACTAAAATGACAATGGAAATTTTTTTTTTTTTTATGTACAAAAACTATAATAGAAACTAGAAATTAAATAGACAAGGAAAAATCGAGAAAAGACAAACTAAAATTCAAATGAAAAATATAAAATCAAAAACGAATTCGAAATTTTTATAAAAACTATAACACTTTATCGGTATAACAGTATAAATAAATAGCAGTAAATAACAGTTTCAAAGCATTTCATGTTGTGTTTATTTTGCAGGAATTGAAGCCACTGATCTGACCAGCCTTTTGGAGCAGTTCGAGACTCAAGGTAAATGATAAATGCATGTTTGGTTATTAAACTTTAAGACAATATTGTCACAGATTTAATGCAGTCAGAGATGCACGAGTTATTAAAGCACAATCGTTAAAGTTGTGATTGAAGTTCTTTAATGGCTTAATAGCTTTTGTAGAACAGCTGGAATGAATAATGTTTGTATGTTCCGGGTTTAAATCTCTAGAAACATAACCGAAGATTATTATAGCAACTAACTAGTTAATATTTGTCGTTCCTACCGTTAATGTGAGTCAAACTGTGTTGTTTCTCTGCAGCTTCTGAAGGGCCGAATCTTCCAGACGTTTCCCGGGATGAGCATCAGGATCGCCGGCCGATGGATCTCAGTAGCACTGCAGGTCAGAGGTCATATAGTTAGTGGACTGACCACCAGCTGTCGGGTGGAAACCTCATATCTCATATTTTATCATTTTTATTTTGTTCATAAATTAGAGATGCAATTAGGGATATATCGGCCACCATATCGGTATCTGCCGATATACGTTCATTTTTATTGTTAGCGTTATTGGCCGGATAAGATAGTTTGTCTGAAATACTGTATTAAAGCTGATAAATAATGTATTATTTCCTTCAGCTGAGACTCTTCAGATGCGCACTGTTCAACATAATGGTTTTTAATTACTTGAAATATGATTGAAATCACTTCAAAAAAGGAAAATACAGTAAAGTGCAACATGTGTCTGACATATCGGCTACATAAAGTTATAATGAGAACATTATAATTTAGTTTGAGGCATGGATCTTAATGGTGAGACTTTTGTTTTTGTAATCAGGCTCTCAAAGATTATATAACAATTTGGATTTAGATTTATCGGCTAATATATTGGTTATCGGCTTTCAAATATAAAGAATTATCGGTTATCGGTATCGGCCAAAATGTTCATATCGGTGCATCCCAATCATAAATCATTACTATTAGTCACCCTTTACGTCCGTCTGTGGGTGTTGCAAATATTTAACCGATGAAAAGTATTAAAAACAGCTTGTGACTAAACCTCGTAACTCCATTGGCTCCTCAAACTGTCAGTCAAACCTCGTAACTCCGCCCCCTCCTCTATGTCGCTGCTTGTTTGCAATGCAATCGTGAATAAAGAACTGGTTGTCTGAATAACTACAGCTTTTCTTTACTCAAGAAACTATATATATATATAAGTCTGTGCTACAATTAATCAAATCCAAAATAAAAGTTTGTTTACACAATGTGTGTACTGTGCATAAATATTTTGTATATAAAAATACACACACATGCATGTATATATTTAAGAAATATTTGAATGTGAATACTGTATATATATATTATAATATATATATATTTATCTTTTATAGCACATTTTTCTTAAATATATACATGCATGTGTGTGTGTTTATATATACAAAATAATTATACACAGTACACACATTATGTAAACAAACTTTTATTTTGGATTCTATTAGTCGTGATTATTGGTTGCACAGACCTATATATATATATATATTTATAAAGGCTAATATAATATTTTAAGTTGGCACCCAACTTAAAGATTTATTTTATTTGTGCACTTAAAAAAGCTCTTTAAAGTCTTACATTTGATTTTAAAAACTGCAGATACCCTGTATTAGCAAAAAAATGTGCAAGTAAAAGCAAAGGCTTGGCATTCGGAAGAATGCAGATGAGACATCATGAATATGCTAATGAGAGCATGATGTCATCAGGGTGTTTTCGAGCAGGCTTTAGTTAGTGTCCATTGAGAGCAGTGGGTGATTTGACTATAGTTTCATGATGATTTGTTTCTCTCCAGGACTAACTCCACCCGCCACTCCTCCACATCAGACCTGGAAGCCCCTGGTGCCCGTCAAAGCCACGAAGTCCAGCAAAACCATTCAGATTATCGAACCTCGCCCATTGCCGCCCAGCAAAACTCATTCAAAACTTCCCACCTTCACTCCTGTGTCGAATCCCGCTCAACTTTTCCTGGATCACGATTACTGTGGGATTCAGGGAAGCAAGACGTCGTTCGACTCGGTTTCGAACCCTTGCGATTACAGGGTGTTGTTGTCACCTGACAGCTCGCCCTGCAGGATAAACACGTTTGAGGAGGCGGAGTCTCTGAGGGGGCGGGGCTTGCGTTTCTCCTCCCCCTCTCCGAGCCCATTGGACCGTGGGAGGAGGAAGAGGCGGGGTTACGATGGAGGATACCGACGCTCCAGCTCAAGGTCATCGTGCTCTTCTTGTTCTTCATCGTCATCATCGTCGTCGTCATCTCCTTCCAGGTCTCGTTCACCGCCCAGAAAAAGGTAATGGAAGCTGTTGCTACTACAGTAAAATGTTGTTAAAATAATCGCCCTGTAATCTATCATTTTATCCGTTAAAACTCATCTTTGATCACCAAAATTACATATTTAAATGCAAAAATACGTCTTTATGCTTTAAAATATCTTGAATGTAACTCGACACCCTTGTCTCATTAAGTATACGTGGTTCTATGAATATGCAAATGAGCCCCGCCTCCACTCACTCACAGCAGCTCCACTCGTTGATGATCACACGGGAAAAAAAGCTGGATTTCCACCACAGAGGGACTTTAACCAGATTTATATTTAATAATTTATATGGATCCATTTAACATAACACAGCATTATTTACCAGCAAATATATATTTATACCTGTATGCATATATATATATACACACACACACTAACATTATAAGATAATTGTTTTTTTTATGCGTGCGTCCAAGTCAATGTAACAATAAAGAGCATTATTTACATGTTTAAGTTTTCAAAAATCAGTTCAAACTCTCCAACTCTTACTGTTTTTGCTACTGAAGTTTAATCCGGACACTATTAAAACATCTCGTAATTAAATCTGTTTGCGTTTTGCTGATGATGTTTATTCAGGTACAGGTCAAGGCATTCTGGAAGCAGTTCCTCCTCGCGCTCCAGTTCACGCTCGTCGTCTTCTTCTTCTTCTCCTCCTCGCGAGCGCCGATCCAGATCCAGATCCAGATCTTTATGTGGCTCTCGATCCGGTTCACACTCGCCGGAGCCGGACTGGAGTGAGTCTCGCTGCACATGGAAGAGGTCAGTGGGAACAGTGGGAAAACTAGGGCTGGATTCACCTACCTATCACGTTTCTTTTGTTTACAGAATCGACATTAAAGGTGCAGTGTGTAATATTTAGGAGGATCTGTTGACAGAAATGCAATATCATAAACATAACTGTATAAAGACCTTAAATAATGAAGCGTTATGTGTTTATTAGCTTAGAATGAGGCGTTTCTCTCTACACACACCGCGGGTCCGCTTACATCCACATGTTTCTATGGTGGCCCTGAGCGGACAAACGCGTTTTGTCACCATGTTGTTCTTCGTGATAAGAAGCTGCTAAAGTCAGCGAATAAAACACTGACACAATGATGAACAAGTCACAATAATATTCGTGAATTTTTTAATGTATCTTTGTAAAGAAACCTCATTGCTTAACTGGCTCCTCTCTGCTGTCTCAGACGACGACATCACTTCCTGTCGGCCACCGTTGGGTGCAATTCACAACCTCACCACTAGATGCTGCTAAACTTACACACTGCACCTTTAATTCAAATTAAATTGCTTTATTTTTTTCCTTGCTTATAGACGAGGTTGACAAAAGTTAGCCACTTTTGTTCCAACTGAGGATGAAATGTGTCGTTATATATGAGAGTTTAGTGACGTAATATCACAAGTGTGCGTGTGAAAGCGGCGTGAGCCTGAACGCACTGAAAGCCCTCGCGCTGCGCGTATACTGAGAGACAGATGAACGATTCATCTTTAAAACACTGTGATCTCCATTCAAACACACGCAATCTTTCAATTCGTCTGTCTATTAAACTTTGATAAATCATATCGCAGCATCCAAAGCTGTGTTGGCGCTGACCCGGAGAGAGTCGTCATGAAACCGCTTTACAAACAGTGTTTTCAACATCATAGGATCATTATTTCTGTGATACAATAGTTCAAATTATCATAGAAATACTGAGATAAAAGTTTAAAGTTCAAATATAAACACTGATGTCTACAGTAGCGATCACAATAGAGTAAATCAGCCTTTGATAGAAACTTGCCGCTTAAAATAACGCATTTATCGATTACATGGACAAGTGACTGTTAAAAATGTATTTGTTATTGAATCATTTATTAAAGAAAGTGTAGTGTATGATGCTTCTGAAATGAAACTCAGAAAGATGTGATGAATAGTTTTTGTAAATGACTCACACTTATACAGACTGTACATGTATAAGATGTGATGACGCTTTTCCCGATGGTCTAGTAATAAAAAAATACTTGTAGATTCACAAAAATCGCAATACATATCGTATCGGCACCCAAGGTTCGTGATGGTATCGCATCGGGAGATAGGTGTCCCGCCCCAGCCCTAGTGTTACTGTGATCCTCTCGTGTTGGATTGCGAGTCTAAATCAGTGGTTCTCCACAGTCGCAGACAGAAGGAGCTGAACCGGCTTCGGGAAGAGGCTCGCAAACTCCGCCAGCAGAAAGCCATCGTAAGTCCACGGTTATCTCTCATCAAAGTCGGCGCTGATGTATAGGAATGTCAAGTTCATTTGTGTATGCATGTGTACATATGTGACCCTGGACCACAAAACCAGTCACATGGGTCAGTTTTTTTTAAATTGAGATTTATACATTATGAATAAATAAGCTCTCCATTGATGTATGGTTTGTTAGGATATGATAATATTTGGCCGAGATATGACTATTGAAAATCTGGAATCTGAAGATGCAAAATAATCGAGACATTGAGAAATCTCCTTTTTAAAGTTGTGCATTTATGTTGGCGATTGTGCTGCATTCACTCGATTCACTGTTTTATATATTTACGATAGGAAACTTACAAAATATCGTCCTGGAACATGATCTTTACTTAATATCCTAATGATATTTGGCATAAAAGAAAAAAATACGGATCATTTTGACCCATATTATAATGTATTGTTGGCTATTCCACAGATACACCCGTGCGACTCGAGACTGGTTTTGTGATCCGGGGTCACGTGTGTATATATAGTTAATAAACTCCAGAAGGAATTATAACTTTTGTTAGTTTTTTGTTTGCATAAGGAAAATATACAGAGGATCTTTGGATTTGATTTCTGTTAAGTTTATCTGTACTCTATATTTCTCAAATAAAAAAAGGATGCTGATGTGTGTGTGTGTGTGTGTGTGTGTGTGTGTGTGTGTGTTTGATCCTCAGGAGGAGCGTAGGGTTGTGTATGTGGGAGGAATCCGCGGAAACATGTCGCCTTCCGACCTCAAAGATCGATTCTCGCTGTTCGGGAAGGTCGAGGACTGTACAATCCACATCAGGAGTCACAGGTGAGATTCACAAACTCCTCATGAGCTTCAGTTTCTGTTCTGCTGATTCACACTGCCGTTCAAAAGTTGTGGATCGGTACAATTTTTTATGTTTTTAAAAGAAGTCTCTTCTGCTCACCAAGGTTTGATTTAAATTACAAAAATATTGTTAAATATTATGAAAATTAAAAAAAAAACTGTTATATAATTTATTCCTGTGATCAAAGCTGAATTTTCAGCATCATTACTCCAGTCTTCAGTGTCACATGATCCTTCAGAAATCACTCTAATATGATGATCAAGAAACATTTATGATTATTATCAGTGTCGAAAACAGTTGTGTACAATTTTTTTTTCAGGATTGTTTGATGAATATAAAGTTGAAAAGAACAGCATTTATTTGAAATAGAATCTTTTGTAACATTATAAATGTCTTTACTGTCACTTTTGATCAATTTAATGCGTCCTTGATGAATAAAAGTATAGATTTATTTTATTTTATTCCCCCAAATAATTAAATAAAGATTCTTACTGACCCCAAACTTTTGAACGGTAGCGTATAATGTTATAAAAGCTTCTATTCCAGATACAGGCTGTTCTTTTGAACTTTCTATTCATCAAAGAATCCTGAAATAAAAATGTAAATAACTGTTTTCAACACTGATAATAATCATAAATGTGTCTTGAGCATCTTTCAGATCCTCATATTAGAGTGATTTCTGAAGGATCATGTGACACTGAAGACTGGAGTAATGATGCTGAAACTCAGCTTTGATCACAGGAATAAATTACACTTTACTGTATATTCACATAGAGAACAGCTGATTTACACTGGAGTAATATTACACTGTTTTTGCTCAAATAAACACAGCCTTGGTGAGATCCAAATCTTTTGACTGGTAGTGTGTGTTCTCAGTGTGTTTCTGTTCTCTCCTTCTAGAGATAACTACGGCTTCGTCACGTATTACAGCAGAGACGCCGCTTACGCTGCCATCGAGAACGGGGGTAAACTGAGGCGCTCAGACGAGCTTCCCTTCGACCTTTGCTTCGGCGGCAGACGCCAGTTCTGTAAATCCAACTATGCAGATTTAGGTTGGTCTGAATGATTCTCATATTAGCTGTAATGAGCAGGAATACATTGTCCTTTAAGCGCAACCGAGCAAGTCGAACCCAGAATTAGGGCTGCACAATTGACCCTTCGCATGGAGTTTGATTGACAGGCGATCTGACCAATCATAATCCGCCAAATCCGCCATTTTTGTCTGACAAAACAGTCAGGAGAGTTAGTAGACTAACATTGGAGAATTTGAACTTGAGAAACCGTGTCCTGACGTCTTTCCAAGGTTAAAACACATTCCTTCTGATGTTCATTCATGTTTATTCAGGGTTTATGCAGGAATCATAGAGATGAATTTACTACCTTTTACTACCTTTTTTACTACCTCCACAATATTTTTTACTACCAACACGACATATATTCTATGTAACGTTACAATGTTCTCAATATAATTCATAATCCCACGTTTATAATGAACAACGCGTTATGGTTATTGTGTTATTAAAAACTGTGTACGCAGAGGGGCGGGGTGACCAAAGCTTATTATCATTTAAAGGCATGTGATTGTGCACTGAAACGGCGTGCTGAAAACAGAGCTATTTTTGAGCTGGTAAAATGAGTGTTTTCTTAAAATACTAATGAGACTTTTTGATAAAAGTATATTACAAAGTTTTCATTTAGACCCTAAAGATTCATATTAACTTGTACAAAAATGGCATTATATGACCCCTTTAACCCTAGCCCTTGAGTTATCCTAACCATTACGTTAGCCCTTAGCCCTAATAAGGTGAATAATAACCTTGGCACTTAAAAACAAATGACACTTAACAGCCATAAACTTTAATAAAGATTAATAATAAAGTGTGTCACATCACACACACTTACCCACAAACACACATTCTCACACACACAGACTTAAGCAGTGAAATTACTATCCCAAAACAGCAATTTATTTAATCACATCTCTAAATGTGCTTCAAATATGGCACTGCTTTGCTCCTCCCTCACGCGAACCCGTTAAATATTTTCAATTAGGGATGCACGATACCACTTTTTGCAGAACGAGACGGATACCAATACTTTCATTTTTGGTACTCGCCGATATCGATACCGTAACCGATCCCTGAATTTTCACTGCATTTGTCATTTTTAAATGTATTAGTAGATAAACCAAAAGAATATAAATCATATTAGTTGGCTTAATTTGTTCATCAAATATATATTTCCTTCAGATATTTTCATGCTTAATTAATCCTGCTAAAAAGCATGCTTCTGTTTCTGTCACTGTTCATTCTATTGCTCTATCATATTTTATCTTTCATTTAATACAGGGTATACACAGAAATTCTTAAAATGAATTTAATACCTTTTAATACCTTCACTATATTTTTTAATACCATCACGACTTCAAGATGCAACTGTAGTGGCGTATATAGAGACAAGTAAAGTAATGAAATATCTTCGAAAACTTGCATTTCCCCATAATGTCCAGGGTTTTTTCCTTGGTCAAAATTGGTCTTCGGTGGTGGCCGACAGACACTTATCCTTTCTTGCCCTTTTTAAAAAAAAAAATACTTCTTTGCTGGACGTGATAATTGTTTTGGTATAATCATATCAATATCAAAAAGTAGAATAAAAACGGAGCATTAAAAAGTTTATTTTAAAAGTTTATTGAAGTCAAATTTTCTACCATATACTGTAAAATTTAACAGAATTAGCTGCCAGATACTTTTTTTTTTTTTAAATTAAATAACAAAAATTGCTGCTAGATAACAACTTGCTTTGCACTTTTTTTCTGGTTTCACCTCACTCCAGTCTAAACTAATTTTTTTTTTTTTTCAATGTTTCTACACATTATAACATAAATAACCTGAAAATACTACGTAGTTTACAACATACATGAATTGTTTGTTCATATTACTTCACAGTGCATTAAAGGTATTGTAGGTAGAATTTTTTAAAAAAACTTTTTGCCAAATTTGTTTAAACTTTCTATATATATCAATGCATAATTAAAATGTAAGTACTCTGGAAAAGAGAGTATAAAAATCGAGTGTCTGTAGTCCTCTCAGGGCTGTAATAAACACAGCTACTTATCTCCATTCACTTCCACCCCCTCCATTCTGGGCTCCTTCCAAAACCACGCCCCCAAAACACATGAACGTGCGATGCCGACAGCTCACAGCTGGAGGACGCGCTTACCAGCGCCCAGCGGAGAGGAGCAGTGCATGTAGTGACATCATGTCAGACTCACATGTAATAAAATACCTAACTTTATCATTATGAATATAAACAACTAACATGGCTGTTAATACTCACTATCAAGCTAGCATATCGATACTGTTAAAGTTTAAAATATATTGAGTTTGATTCGTTAACGAGCTAGTAACATAAAGCAAAGCTAAAAACAGGTTGCATTGATACACGTTTTCCCATTACAATCAGTTACACTGTGATGAAGGTGAATTTTGTGTAAGATTCATAACATATACGCCGTGTTTTGCCTGTAATTGTGTCTCTTACTAGTCTCTTACCCTCCTTGAGTCAAACGAGTGCGCGCATGTGGGCAGCGCATGTAGCAGCGGGGGTGTTGCCATGGTTGCGAGAGAGTGACAGTCGCCTAAGCCAATCCTTTGTTTCGTCCCGGAAGGAAATAATGAGCTGTGTTTAGTGCAGATTAAACGGTCTAGAGTCACTCGATTTTTATACTCTTTTTATCAAAATACTTACATTTTAATTATGCATTGATATATATAGAAAGTTTAAACAAATTTGGGAAAAAGTTTTTTAGACCAAAAACGACCTACCCAACCTTTAACTAATGTTAACAAATACAACTTTTGATTTCAATAATGTAGGCTATATGGTGAAATTGACATTAAGAAAGATTAATTAATGATGTAGACGTGCAGTTTATTAATAGTTCATGTTAACTAATGTAGTTAACTAGATTTTAATAAATGGAACCATATTGTGTTACCGATTCAGAAGTCCCATGAGGACAGATCCGTTGTGTTAACCATTCATTAAAGTGACGCGTCATTAGCGGACGTGTACGCATTGTGTGGTTATCCCATCAGTTAGGACATCGCACAAAATTTGTGTCAACAAATAGTTTTTTTTAGGATAGATTTTTCCTTTATTGAAAGTGTGGTTATGTCAGCTGAATGTGGCACACGCCGTGAGAAAAGATAAGGCAACGTTTTTTTAGCACAATTCACACACAGCGGGAAATAAATTTCCAATTGCGCCACGTGAAACTTCGGTCTTCCGACCTTTTACCATCGTGTCTGTCAATTGATTTTGATTAATATGAGCGAGGGAGAGAGAGCAAGAGTGAATTGAGTGCGCGCGCGCAGCCGGGGCTCTCTCTCTGTTCCTTCTTTCAGTTAACATGCACCCTGTCACAAGCGTAGCAGTCAGTCGTCTACATTAGGCTACTCACCGATCAAATATGGCTTTGGCGGCCGACTGATGACTGAAATAGAAGCGAACTCGCGAACAGGTTGGGCAGCAAGCCAGGCCAGCCGGGTACCCAGTTTGTTTCAGCGCGCGCGAACGAACAAACACCACGTCACATGATATCGCACAGGTCCTACTCGCAACATATAAATAAATCCACGCGAATTTTAGAACAAAGTCCTGCACTTAACACAAATTGAAACTCATAGGCCTAGTTGGATGGGGGTTAGAAAATTTACTACTTCGTCAGATGACGTTTACTACTTTTTACTACTTTTTACTGGCCTTAATTTGGCATAATTTAATTTACTACCTTTTACTACCTTTTACAACCCCGCGGAAACCCTGTTATTTGATGCTATAAATGAACTAGAAGGACGAGATGATCGGTTCACGAGCAGCTTTAACTGAGGCTCTAGTGATCTGTCAGACACATTAAAGAGCCACAAAATGGTATTTATTGTTTAAATTTCTTTAATAAATTACCAAATTTTAAAGTTAAGACTAGGGATGGGACGATTACCGGTTTCACGATAAACCACGATAAAATGTCCTGGCGGTTAGTATTATCGTTTAAAATTTAATTATCATAAAAACCGTGTTTGATTATCGTGATTTTGAAAACTCGCGGTAACGTAAATCCTGTCCAGCCAGAATCAGTCTGACGCAAGCGCGAGCAGGCGCGCAGATGCAATGTTGTTTTTTTGCGCGAGAAGACATGGCGGAAGGCAGTGACAGCGCACGGGAGATTTTTCAGCCATCCAAGAGGACAAAATCGGAGGTATGGTCGTATTTTGGCTATTACAAGAGTCCCGAGGGCAATTTAATCGAGGATGGGCATCCTGTCTGCAAATCTTGCAAGAGGAAAGTCGCTGCAAAAGGGGGAAACACGTCAAATCTGCTAAGTCATCTAACGTTACGTGACAACCGCCCACTGAGTTAATTTTTACCTTAATACCACAACTAACTTGGGCAAATAATTAGACAAAAAATTTATTGGAGATGAATTATTTCATTATCTCACTTGTAATTATTGCAAAGCTTCCGCGAAGAGAAAAGTTTTACAGCAAGTGGATTTGAGCCAAGACGAACGAACATATTCAAACTATTAAGGGTGACATTTAAGGGATATTGTATTCATTCATAGTAAACTTATTACAGTTTTATTTTTTATTTTTTACCACAGAAATAATTTCAGGGACATGAAATATTGAATTGTGATTAACTTAATGTTTTTAAATCTTACCGGTTTATAAATCCATTATACAAGTTACAGTGTCCAAATCAATCGTAAAGTAAATGTGATCACTACAACAATATTATAGTAGTATTAATACTAAATTACTCTGATTTAATTTTCAATACAATCAAAACTGAGACGCAAGACATACACATTTGAATGAAACCAGAGATTGCGTCCGCGGTGATCCGAGACATGGATGTGCGCTGTGTAGTGCGTTGCTATTTACAACAGTCATTATAAGTATTCCAGTAGTTTAGTCACCCTGACCCAACCAACATATTTTGTTCATTTAAAGTGTGTGTGTGTGTGAGAGAGAGAGAAAGTGATTTATTATTTATTAATAATAATAATATTCAGTCACACACATCCATAAGTGTTATTATCATTATTAATGATAGGGTTTAATGATAGGTTAATTAAAACCTGCACTAGGAAAACTTATACCTCTCACTCTCAGGGCTCCATGTTAATGTTAATATAATGTTGATGCTTAAAAAAGTGCATATTACTGCTAATTGTATTTTTTGTTTGTTGATTTTCAAATGTTTTCAGGGTGAGCATCAGTTCTTTTTGAACATTTCCATCTCATTTTAACAAAACCGTGATAATATTGATAATCGTGATAACTTTGGTCACTATAATCGTGATATGAAATTTTCATACCGTCCCATCCCTAGTTAAGACTTTGTTTCATATCAAAAGTAACCCAAAAGTAAGCTGGTCCGTCCATGTGTTGTCAGTGTCTTTGCTCCTCGATGTATTTTTCACTGTGTGAGAACATGGTGTGCGTGAGAGAGGCGTGGCTTGTCGGACATAGCAACAGTAACTAAAGGGGGTGGGTCTTTGCGAACGGTCAATTGCACACATGCACTGCGATTAGTCCCCCGGTAGTCAATCATTTTATCCCTTAAAACTCATCTTTGATCACCAAAATTACATTTTTAAGTTTTTTACTTAAAAAAAAAAATCTTGAATGTAACTCGACACCCTTGCCTCATTTATTATTCGCGGTTCTATGAATATGCAGATGAGCCCCGCCTCCACTCACTCCCTCAGCTCAGAGATCCACTGGTTGACGAGCACACGTTGATCTGATTGGTTACAAGGTCGTTTGTGACGTCAGAAACACCAGCGATTTCAAACCGTGTTTTTGAGACTGTCTTTGGTTCACTGCAGTTTTAAGCAGGAAATACTCAGCAATGCTGTCGACTTATGAACTTACACATGGTTTAAGCGTATTAATAACACCACAGACACATAAACAACATTAAAAGCTGGATTTACACCACAGGGGGACTTTATATCATTGATTGTGATTTGATTACGTGATTAGATTCTGATGCACGATATAAAAAGGGAAGTTTTTAATTTCTGATATCTTGTGTTTGTGTTTTAGATTCTAACCGGGACGTCGATGGCTCGTCGAGGAGCCGATGCGAGTCGTTCGACTTCGACGCGCTTCTGAAACAGGCTCAGAGACAGAAGAGGTAGCGGCAAAGACTCGACGTTCCCTCAGAGCACTGAAACAAACCAGTTTACCTGCGAACCAGCTTAAATCGCCAATTTAATTGCTGGTTTACAGTTCAAGACATGTTTTGGACACTTTCGTTCTGGTTTTGGCTGGTCACTCATCATGACTCAACAAGTTGGTTTACTTGCAATAAAACTAGCTTGTTCCAGTAACTGTTCAAACTGGTTTAAAGGAGTATTCTGGGTTTAGCACAAGTTAAGCTCTATTAAAGGGTTAGTTCACCCAAAGATGTAAACTCTGTCAGTAATTACTCTCCTTCGTGTTGTTCAACCCCGTAAGACTTTCATTCATCTTCAAAAGACAAATTAAGATATTTTTGATTAAATCTGAGAGCTGTCTCACTCCTCCATAGGCTTCTGTGTTATTGAAACCGGCCCAGAAAGTTATTAAAGACATCGTTAAAATAGTCCGAGTGACTACAGCGGCTCAACCTTAAGTCATCAAGCGACGAGAATACTTTCTGTGCGCCAAAAACACACAAAAATAACGACTTTATTCAACTCTTCATGTTCTTCTCTGTGGGCCTCGAGTGAGTTCGCGTAGTGTAACAGCGCAGCGCTTCTGGTGTACGTCACACACATCTCACACACACACACACACATGACCAGCGTCGGCCAATAGTGAGCCTGCGTGTGACGTACACCAGAAGCGCTGCGCTGTTACACTACGCGAACTCACTCGAGGCCCACAGAGAAGAACATGAAGAGTTGAATAAAGTCGTTATTTTTGTGTGTTTTTGGCGCACAGAAAGTATTCTCGTCGCTTGATGACTTAAGGTTGAGCCGCTGTAGTCACTCGGACTATTTTAACGATGTCTTTAATAACTTTCTGGGCCGGCAAGTTTCAATTACACAGAAGCCCATTGAGGAGTGATCCAGCTCTCAGATTTAATCAAAAATATCTTATATGTTTTGAAGATGAAGGAAAGTCTTACGGGGTTGAACAACATGAGGGAGAGTAATTACTGACAGAGTTTACATCTTTGGGTGAACTAACCCTTTAACCTCATCTGTAATTGTGATAAACGCACTTACATTAGGAGTCAATGCCGTACAGATGATGTTTATAGAGATTTACTCAAGTTATTTTTCAGAAGAGTCATTTGCACTTCACTAAACTGACTTTCTTACTTGACAGTTAAAACCTTCTGTGGAAGTATTGTTGTTTATGAATTTTGTACATAAGAATGCAATGCATTAAAGGATGAAATCATCATTACGAAAGGTCAATGGTGAATGGTTTGTCTTCTATATATAGTCTGATGTTTTTTTTAAGTGATACCAAAAATGTTTTCCCATCTTTCTCAGTTGGAATGATGAAGCTATAACTAAATAAAAAAAGTTTATGTACTAATAAAGTCTGACCTCTCTTCTGTTACACTAAATTCAGAACTTTTATACAATGTATGTAAAACTTTTACAACCCACTTAAAAATACCACTAGATAACAATGACGCTTGACTGCTGGGAAATTAACCCCTTTACTGCCGTTTTGGCCATAGACGTGAAAATGCATCATCCAAACTTAAATGGTTGTAATTCATGAATTCTTTGGAATAAAGATCTAAAGTTGGTCTCTTTTTAAAGACACTTTATTGCTGACAGATTATTGCTGAAGTGAAAGCAAATTAAAATAAATAAGTTTTAAGTTTACTGTAAAACAAATGTACTACTAAACATTTTTTATTTTAACACAAAATATGTATTTTATAAAATAATTTTTACTCTAAAACTTCTAAAATCAAAGCCAAATGTCTAAACAAGTTGTGTTCCAAATTTGAAATTGATATCAAAATTGGAGATTCCTGTGAGGTTTTTTTTAGGTGCTATACCAAAAATAGCCACCGGGTTCATTTTTTTATGCGTTCTCCTCTGACGAATTAATACATTTCTGTCACGATATTACTTCTATGACAGAACAGTCATCAAATATGGAACCTTGAGTCTCAGACCTTTCCGATGATGTGTTTTTGTCAAAATTTGAAAAAAATTCAGCCTGATAAAAGATTTAAAGCAATGTCCGATTTCAAAACTTTAGTTTTTAAGCTTTCGAATGATAATTATGATGATTACTAAAATATGTGATAGAAAAAAAGGCATTAAAAAAAGCGCCAAACGATGACAGTGAAGGGGGTAAATGAATTATACTAGTTAAGGTAATTGTACAAGTATGTTTTACCACAGGCATGACAACTATAACGAATCTAAAATACAGAAACAAACTAGAAAATGTTCAACATGCTAAAAAAAATAGAAATACATTTTTTTAAAGACTAGTTTAATTTGAAGTTATGCATTGAAATCACTATAACTTTTTTATTAATAATTATTTACAATTATTTTATTTATTAATACTGGGCTCTACGTGTGTTTGAGGAGAACTGACTTCATACATCCATTAAAAATCATCAAAAAGTCTTGAAGAGAAAATTAAGATAAAGGTCCTGCAGTATTTGAACAGATGATTTTATCAAACATTACCAGATTTAGGCAAATTGAAGAAAACAATAACACTAAACAACAGAATTCATAAAATATCAACTTACTTACGTTTGTCCTGTTTTCCCGCTAAATTGATGTCAAGTGCTGGAAAAACCTGTAAATTAATTACCAATTAAAACAATATTCACAAGAAAATATGTTTAGTTTGGAACATTCTATGAAAATAAAGAAGAATACATATGTTTTCTAAACAAATGGTCAGTTTTTCATTGTATAAGTTTGTGAGGCGCTTGAGGAAAACGAACATCCAGTCAAACTAAAGCAGGTGAATGATTTAAATTCACCTTTATTTTTACTTCAATTTGCCATTTCCAAGTATTTCTAAAAGCAAATATTTCATATATCTTGATCCCCTATAGTTTTTATCAACATATTTATCGTTTATTTGTGTGGAATACCTTAAACTGCTGTAGAGTTCAGAGCCGTTGAAAAACTGGTAGAGTTGGGCAGAAAGCGGGGGGGGGGGGGCGGGGCTGTGCACATGTGGGCGGGGTTTATTTGACAGCTGAGGAACCGCGCATGCGCGAACGTGTGACCACGCGTACAATAAGGAAGCGGAGAGTTTATAAACATAAACATCAAACCAAACAGCTGAGTGTGTGTCAGCAGATCCAGAAAGATCGTCGAGCGAGTTCAGAACCATCACAGAGCACAAACAGAGCTGGTCACATCTGATTGATCAGCTTATATCGATCTGCTGAAACCAGGAATCATGTCCAAGAAAAACAGGATCTTCCTGAGTGGAGTGGTCGAGGGTGAGCCACTAATAACTTGATGATATAAATCATTTTTGTTAAGCTTAAGCTTTTAATCTGCGAAATGTATTTTAAAAAATGTACTGGAATACTACTAATAATACACAGAATGTATAATAATAATGTAGGACATATAAAGAAATACATTATAAAAAACATTTATAGTTTAATATAATTATAATAATATAATTAGTTAAAACTGCATTGCTGTTGCATTTCTTTAGAATTTAGTGTATTCTTGTTGTAATTTTGATTGATGTTTTATTGAGGCGTGTCTGTGATCATGTGACCTTTGTGTATTGCAGGGTTTTATGGGAGGCCGTGGACTATGAGCCAGAGAAAAGAGCTCTTCAGGAGGTGAATAACCCAGCGTTATCAGATGTCATCATGTGTTATCAGTTCATTTATCTCACCTGTGTGCATGCGTATATCTTATTGTCTTCCCAGGGAGCAGAAATGGGGCTTGAACGCGTATCTATACGCTCCGAAAGATGATTACAAGCATAGGATGTACTGGAGAGATCTGTATTCCCTGGAGGAAGCAGGTGACAGCCAAACTCAAGCTTTGCAATGAGTAAAATATGTGCATTCTGTGCATTTACATCGTCTACGCCAGGGGTCGGCAACCTTTTTGTCATAAAGTGCCATTTTTAAGTTTAAATCACTGTTTTAATTTTTTCTAAATCACAGCTTCATCGGAAGGGTGTGAAACTTGGGGACTTTAATGACATTTTGAATGTGAACACAGACACAAATTGAGGGCATGATCTGAGCAGAATAAGTGGTTGCAAAAAAAAGTCACACTTGTCGTCTTCGGTCAAAAATGACCGACCGTAGGAAATGAATGGGAAATTGACAATTAAAAAAAATAATTCTAACAAAAAAAATTTTTTTATTAAAAAAAACAACAAAAATGTCCCAAAACAAATTTGAACAATTTCTTTACTTTTTTTTTTTTTTAATTCGAACAAATATAAAAAATAAATTTAGTGTGTACAATCTACAAATTGGTCACAATGCTGAAAAAAAAGTACACAGCAGGAAAGTGATGACACTGAATCTACGATTTCATTCAAAGCGGCTTCAGTTATCAACCCTGTCAAGCAAACGGGCGGGACTGTATCAGGACACCGTATCTGAAGATGAACTCGTTGATTGTGTTTTACAGATCAACTCATGACGCTGATCTCTGCTGCTAAAGAGCATAACGTCGAGTTCATCTACGCTTTATCACCCGGGCTGGACATCACCTTCTCAAACCCTAAAGAAGTGGCGGCGCTCAAGAGGAAACTGAGACAGGTGCAAACATCAGTTCATATTTAAAGTCTCCTTCGACAGGTTCGCATTCATCAGAGGTCAAACACACTGTAATGTCCTCATAATCTCCACTGCAGCTTCAGCTCTGCCTCTCAGTGTCTGAAACGCTTCCATCGAGGACTCAGTCTCTCTAAGCCCCGCCTCTCTGAGAGCTGCTCTGCTGTGATTGGTCAGAACGCTCATTATCATATCTGACTCGCAGCTCTTGATCAGAGTGATGCGAACAGTAACGATGGCGTGGGTTTCACCGTCTCAATCTCAGGAAACAGCGTCTCCTCGACACGAACAACACGAGCCGAACTCTTCCAGTCTCAGATACACTAGTGTTTGAGGGCGGGGCTAAGAGACGCTGCTCAGCCAATCAACACCACAGGCTGGCATTATGCTAATTAGCTACAAACCTACAGGATCAGCAGGAAGTGAGACTGAATTACTGACGACTCGAATTTCAGCAGTAGCACCTCATTGCAGTACACGAGATCCAGGGGGCGGAGTTGGATCCAGATCTAAGGGGTGGAGATGGGTAGGATTAGGGGTGGGGTTAGGGATCAGGGGGCGGAGATGGGTAGGATTAGGGGTGGGGTTAGGGATCAGGGGGCGGAGATAGGTAGGTTTAGGGGTGGGGTTAGGGATCAGGGGGCGGAGATGGGTAGGATTAGGGGTGGGGTTAGGGATCAGGGGGCGGAGATGGGTAGGTTTAGGGG